ATAAATGAGCGTGTAATGTGTAGATGGCTTTACTAGACAAAAAGCGGTCTAAGGAGATAGAGCGATGGACACTCACGTGATATACGCCACCAGCGTATCAGATACGCATTTATTCCCCAATAACATCCCCGCATCTTTCCAAAATCGATTGTTTAACCAGCTAGAATTAGATCCCAGGAGGAGTTATGAAATGTGTCTACAAAAATTACTCCTCCCCACTTCACATTACGTTATTAAGCGTGATAATCCCGAGGCATATATACGTGTAGGCGTTACGTATGAGAAAGTGAGCGAGGGGAAATACATGCATTCAAAGCATTTATTATCATCTGATGTTTTAGCCGGAACTATAAAAGAAATTAATACCACGATTAATACAGAAATAGAGGCCATATTTTCAAGTAATGCTAAACTGAGTTTTTTAGGAAAGTCATTAAAACAATTTTCAGCTAAATATGGAACGCATTTTATTAAATATGATTCTTCCTCCAATCGAAACAAGTTCACTACTGTGATTAGTGATGAGAATATTAGCTCTGCAACGGGGCATAAAAACATCAGTAGAGTTACATTATCATTTGGAACCGCTTTTGGGAAAGTGTTGGGCGTAGTTCCAGAAATAGAATATGACATATTCGCAAAACGTCAGTACGCCTCGAGTGTAGTTAACACATGTCTATTCCCGCCAATGCCTAGAGGAGGAGTTGATATTCTGTGTGTTTATTGCGATAGAATCTCTTCTACTAGATATGGAAACCAGTCTGTAAATATTTTGGATGTAATCTCCCTAAATGGAAGTGATAACAGCAACAATAAAAAACTATATGTGCGTCTTAACACTAACATGATAGATAGCGTCAGCATCACTATTAGGGATCAAGATGGTAACCCCATACATTTTGATGAACGTGGGTGCACCATAGCAGTCTTGCATGTACGCCCCGTTGCAGGAGGTATATAACACCAATGCTTTCCCGCCACTCCTCATTCGTCTGAAACAAGCGGAGAAATGCGTGTCCACTTTATTCCCCCCTCTGTTGAGGAATTATACATTCTGTTAACCCCTCCTAGAGGTGGTGGGACTGATGATATACGGATTTTCAACAGCAGTAGACGTTATACGCGAGGAGGAGGAATATTTTCCTTTTTAAGCGGGATAGCGCGTCGAGCAGCACCCTTTATCATGAGGACTCTGGCCCCGGCTGCGCTTAGCTTGGGGCAGAACGTACTAGACGACATTAATAATGACAAACAAACTTTCAAACAATCTCTTAAGAAACGCGGAATTGAAACATTGAAAGGAGTGGGGAAGCAAATGATAGGTGGAAGAGTGCAGAAAAAGAATAAACAAACAAACAAATTAGTAAACATCGAACGTTTTACTAAAGCGAAATATAATGATGTGTTGTCATAACTTCTCACTCGGTTGGTGTTGTCTAAAGCGCGAACATGGCCGGATATAACGCTCTGGGCCTCCAGGTGCCATTAGAACATTATACAGCTGCTGTTAGTGAAGCCTTTCCTAAAGTATTTTCCCCTCGATTGGTAGAATCAACAATTGCCAGCAGACAAACGGTGGATGTATTACCTGTGAATTCTGGGGTCAATAATAAGTTTACAGACACTTATCTGGAATTCATCATCAAGGGAGTGAATGGTCAACTGGTGGATTTATCATCTATAGCTTTGGAGTTGACTATTGATCTAACCGAAGAAGATGGAATAACGCCTTTAGGAGATGCTAAAAACGCATCGTTGGTGAATGGATTATCGCAAACTCTATTCAAATCCGCTATTGTGTATTTAAACGAAACAGTAGTTGAAACCAGCTCATTATTCTCATTCTGGTCATACGTAAAGTTATTATCTACGATTTCTGGGTGTAAGGCTAACCGCTATGATAAACTGTCGCAGTTTTTTAACCGAGTCGATCCTGGTAAAATTGAAGCTGGTTATTTCACTAATGCCTCGGCTAGTGAGAAGCAGCGGATGACTGATATGAAAACGAGTGGTGTGAATACTTGTTTTAAACTAATGCTGGATGTCACATCCGTTAGTGAATACGTTTTGGATAATGTGGACATCAGGGTGAGGCTCGAACTTCAACCTGATAAGTGGCTTATACTCAGCGATAATGAACATGCTAATTTTAAATATAATATCAAGTCTACACGACTATGGGTGGATCGGGTATTGCCATACCCTGAAGGATTAGTAGCCATTAATAAAGCCATGGTGCAGAACAACTCTCCTATTACGTATACTTTTAATAAAACTTTATACAAAACGTATATATTGGGCACAGGTCAGCGCTCTATAACAATGGACCAGCCGTGGGGGACTGTTATACCAGAACATTTATATATGATCATCCTTGATATGGAGGCCGTGTCTGGTGCATATAATCGCAACCCGCTTTATTTGGAAAACTGCGAGCTTAGTAAAGTATTAATATCGCAGAATAGCAGTAATATTGTCAATATTGGGTGCGACTTCCCTCATAACTGCGCCAAGTTGTATTACACAGCATTACAAGCCTTAGGCTTCGATAAAGACAATATATTATCTTATGACACATATGTGAATGGTGGAACCATACTGGCCTTTAATTTACAACCCGAGGATATCGATGACACCATCCCGATTGAAAAAAGTGGTAATCTGAGGATCGCTTTGGAATTTAAACGTGGAGTAGCTAGAAATAAAGTCATTCTAGTTTACGGGTCTACAACAGGTGTGATTAGCATTAACGCGGATCGTCGCGTTATTTGCGATACGCGAGGATAAAATACTAATATGAATTGTTTGGAAATAAATGAGGCTATCAGAAGTAATTTAGGTGATAAGGTGGTCTATCTAGGATGTTTCCTAGCTGATGACGTACGGAAAATACTGACAAAAATACATAAAAAAAGACCTGTGGTGTTCATAATGAACACTCTGGACTCGGGTTCTCGTAATAAAATGGGTCATTGGATAACATTCTATGTAAATAAGGATGAAGGTAGAAGCGAGATAGTTATACTAGACAGCTATGCCAATCCTGCAATAGGATCTTATTCAAGATATTTCAAAGAGTTTATGTCTTACTTCCAAGACTATACCCTATATATTACGAAGAAAAGGATTCAATCCTTGAATAGTTACTTCTGTGGGAATTACGCCGTTTATTTTGCATATCATTTTTGCAGACTAGGCTTAGAGGCCGCCCTGCTTCACTTTGATGAAGCGTTTAAATATGGTCATTTTCGCAAGAATGATGAAAAAGTGTTGAAATTCAATTACGCTCAGATGAAAATGCCTGTGTGTAAGCAAACATTCTGCTTAAACGGTAGTGATGCTGAGTGTGAAACGCTGTGTGACGAAGTTGGCTAGGATGATAGTGCGGTGAGTAATACTTTATGTTAGGATTGAATGATGAACATAATAATGTCTGTATTTATGTTTACAACATTGACAACAACAAAACTTATAACCTTTTCCCCTTTCTACAGATTGACTGATTGACTAGCGTGTCGGGAAGGATCGATGGACTGAATGAAAGCCTTTCTACATCTGTCTGCTAGCTAAACCACCAAGAAGAAGTCTTATTATTATTATTATCGTTGTAAATCGCTTAAGTGTTTAATAAAGAAATAAATTTATATAATGTGTTTACTTTTCCCTCGTTATTGCTCTCACCATGTTGATCACGTTGCGATATAGCTTACACATACTAAAAGAGAATGCACGGAACAATGGTTGATGGTATGGGAGCGGGTGGGGATGAGGGGGGGAGTGATTGATTGCTGACAGGTGAGGGTCTGTCGTATGTACTTCGCTCCCCTTCCTTAACGAATCCAGTGTATGAGGACTCGCCGTGGGGCGAACATCTCCACTCTGAAGACAACGAAAACCCTTTAGACAAATGACCCAAGGGAATGGACAACTTCCGCAGGGGAGTGAGCTCTCACTCTCTTACCCCTCAACACTTACGACTTCCTGTAAGGGAGCTAATGGACGTCCAGGCCTTCCTCTCAGGTATGGGGGTTCTCCTCTCCCTCCCCCCTCCCCAAACAACATAACCACTATGATGGATCCCCTCTCTTCCTCTACTCACGATCATCATCACACAGGATTAAGTCTATGACAAACACACATACATATTCATTTACTCCTTCCTCATATTCCACTCTTATCCTTGTATTTTCATACGTCTTCCCAGAAATTCCCTTTGTGTCTAGAGCGATGCGGTACACCTGCTCACCCGCTACTCAGGGCTGCCTCCGACACGCGCCAAACTTCCGGGAAATTCCCCAAAAACCCTGTGTGACGACGACGACGCGCTGCGACTACGACGTCGCGCGCCACCTGGCACCCAACAACATGACCTCCCCTCTTTCCTGACCACATACCCAAACACCGGACGCTCACACGCGTCCGAAACGCGCCAAAACTTCCGGGAAAATCCCCAAAAACCCCATGTGACGACGACGACGCGCTGCGACTACGACGTCGCGCCTCACCTGCTCAGATGGCACTCAAGAGTGCCACCTGGGGTAGCTGGTGCGCGTCGCCGTAGTCACGTATTTCACTACTGTAGTACCACTCAGGGAGCCCTGATGTGTAGTACCACTCAGGGAGCCCTGATGTGTAGTGCCACTCAGGGAGTCCTGAGGTGTAGTACCACTCAGGGAGCCCTGATGTGTGGTACGACACAGGGAGCCCTGATGTACAGTACCACTCAGGAAGACCTGATATGTAGTCCCTCCCATGAAGCTCTGATGGGTATTGGGCTCATAAGTCAGATTATTCATTATTCATCATTCATTCCTCACAAAATCTGTGGAACACTGTAGGAACTTCATCCTCCTTACTATCACATAAATACAGTCAACAGTAACAAACTACAAACAATTCATCAGTGTTGCAGTAAAACAAATATTGGTTTGTTATCTACTTAGTAAACTGTATTCTGTAACGGTTCCTTTGTGTGTTGGGAATACAGTTTGAGTTCTCACCTGGCTTGGCGACCCGGATAAATTCATTGAGGCCTTGAACAGGCATGTGGCTCTCACCCATGCCGCCACAGATCAGCACAACGTCATATGTATCTGGCAACACAACACAAGATAAACATTACCACATGGGTTATTATAAACACAAGTGTTGCCACCACGTCATAGGTATCTGGCAACACAAGATAAACATTACCACCAGGAACATTATAAACACAAGTGTTGGTACATGATCACACTCCTCAACATGTCATTGGATGGTCTTCAACATGTCATTGGATGGTTACAAAAACAAATTAATAATGGAAATAAAAATCATCTAATCGAAGGCGTTTAATTATTTTTTTATTTAATCTAAATAATTTAATATTAATTTTAAGCCATGAGACTAAATAGTCGTTGACATTTTGACATTTGACAGAGAAATCAAAACTTTTGCATTCTCAATTTGTCAAATTATTATATTTTTTCAAGTAATAAACATATCTTTACAAATCAGTCAATCAACGGGTTTACCAGCCCTCCATGTTATGGAATAATGATGATGATGACTGAGGCATGAGATAAAGCCTGAGCTGAGTCTTAGTCGAGATGATGACAGGATGTACTAGAAGATAGTAGGATGTACTAGAGGTTGGTAGGATGTACTAGAGGATGGTAGGATGTGCTAGAAGATGGTAGGAAGTACTAGAGGATCGTAGGATGTACTTGAAGGATATACTAGAGGATGGTAGGATGTACTTCAGGATTGTAGGATATACTAGAGGATGGTAGGATGTACTTGAGGATGGAAGGATGCCCTTGAGGATAGAAGGATGTATTTGAGGGTGTTAGGATGTACTTGAGGATGGTAGGATGCCCTTGAGGATGGAAGGATGTACTTGTGGATGTGTAGGATGTACTTGAGGATTGTAGGATGTACTAGAACATGCTAGGATGTACTAGAGGATGGCAGAATGTACTTGAATTTGGTAGGATGCCCTTGAAGATGTAGAATGCCCTTGAGGCTGGTAGGATGTACTTGAGGATAGTAGAGTATACTAGAGGAAGGTAGGATGCCCTTGAGGATATAGGATGCATTTGAGGATGGTATGATGTTCTTGAGGATTGGCACCCAGTAAATCCTCCCCGGCCAGAATACGAACCCAGGCCAAAGCGCTCGTGAAATGCCATGCTCTTCCTTCCTTAGTTAATTACGATATATATATACCCATTTACGCTCGAGATGTCTATCGAGAACCGCGCATCGGCAATCGAGAGGAGGAGGAAGAGGAGAGAACGTGCCAGCCACCTCCCGACTCGGACGCCATTGACAGCGTGCAGCAGAGAGCTACGTTTCGACCGTACTTATTTCGCCCGCACGACCAGTAGAGCGGTGCCACGTTATCTGGCATATTATAGCTGTGTTTCAGACTAGTATATCTGCAATTCTATAGTCAACGCCTTTCAAGCAGCAGCTGGAGGACGAAGGATTGCTCAGTTATCTACATCAACGGACACGCGGCTCGGCAGCTAGGTTCACCAGTTTGTTATCATGTGGCCACAGTTAACATTTAGGCTAGATGTCGTTAGGCCGTATATAAAATAATAAAATCCCGTACGTGTCTTTAGTAATTTTACAATCTAAATAGATAATTATTTTCATTATTTCTGCAGAAGAAATTTACAGTGCTTTAATATAAATTGCACAGATATTGGCTGAAGATTTCTACAGTTATCTTTATAATGTAGGATTTATTTGTAGTTACCTATTATGTAGAAGATTTCTACAATGTAATTGCCTTCCAGTTCCAAGTCGACGTCAACCAAGGTGCTAGGCTTCCTCAACTTCACGTGCAACAATTTGCTCTAAGCAACACGTCGTCGGTGGAGCGTGGCAACTGATTACACCTCACTAGATTCACAGCTAAGCTGTCTCTCTTTTATCTGTAGTAATAACTCTGTAGTTACAGTAATGATCTCTCAAAGAGATCAATTACATTAACCCGTTGATTTATATCCACTGTACTATTCTATCCAGTAGTATATTGAGGTGCATTTACCTCCAATTAATATTATATAATCAACCTTGTTTACTTTCATAAGTTATTTACTCTGGTGAAGAACCAGCACCAGAATAATGCTAGGGATGTATTAATCTTTTAGCATGTAACCCCCCAATTTTGTGCAGGTTAATTTGGCTCCATTTATATAAGAAATACAGTTTCACTAAGATCCATAGGACACTAGTTCTTGGGGTCAGTTTAATCCATTGTCACATTTTGTTTTCCACTTTTTCTCAAAAAGTGGTGGTCCTTCATATCTATGGAAGTATTTATTTAATACAAGTTATTGGAGTCAGGTTTTCCCCCACAAAGTCCGTCTTCCTGCCATTAACTTACCAGTATTTCATGGCAAGGACGATGAAAATTTTGAATGTTCCTGAAACACGTTTGATTCATTTGTGAACTGTAAAGGTTCCATTACCAAATAAAAAAAATTCCTTTATTTGTAAAGGACCTTGAGAGGTGAAGCAACAGCAGTTATTGACAAACTGATTCTTAGCGATGACGACTACAATATCGCCATACAGTTGTTGCAACTCAATTATTGTGACAAAGAGCCAATAAATTGGCTCTATAAATTACTATAATTTGAGAGCTGAACCTACACCAGCTTAAACACTTGAGGCAATACAAGACTCTAGAGTCCAAGTAAAGTCTCTTAGTCAAAGCTGTAGCTGCTAAGGCACATGTTTGCCACGCAGAATTGGTGTTAAAATTACCAATCTAGAGCAAATTACCCAAGGAAACCTTGGAATCTCTTTGCTCTCACTATAAAACAGACATCCTCTCCCTGGACGAAATTTTTGTGGGTGTGAGGATGATTGTGAATCGTATGAGAGCACATGAGAAAATACAACAAATACAGAGTTCATCAACTGACAAGTCTAAAACGACGAAGTCAGAGTAAACAAATAGTACATCAAGTACTAATCCAAAACACAAGCAAAACACTTCCACTTCTAAGTGGAAGTCAGGCAGTGTAGGCACTCATGAAGTGGGTCCCTTAAAGCCTACAGATACTGTGTCACCCAAGGGAGTGACTCGAGAAGGTGCTGTAGGCTGGCAGACATGTCTATTCTGCCAAAAGGAACATTCTGTCTACCACTGCACAAATTATCTTGATCATGTCACCCGTGTCAAGCGACTGAAGGAATAGCAAAAATGTACTATGTGTCTCAGATCACATAACATTAACACCTGTGAGACCCAACTACATACCTGCAATAGGTGTAACAAGGATCAACACAATGTAGTACTTTACACGAAAGTAAAGTCTCCAAAACCAAAGGTGGAGGAAGATAAATCTTCCACCTCAGTAAGTACTATAAGGTGCGACAGGAGATTATTGTCCTGTTGACAAAGTCCAACAATAACGCGACTTTGCCCACTGCCCAACTGACTATCAAAAACATGGGAGGACCAAGGTCTATACTAGAGGATTCTTTGACCAAGAGGTCCCAGAACACTTGTCACTGTAAAGGTGGCAGATGATCTTCAATTAACACCTGTTACCCAGGTAAAATAGAATATTTTGGGGTTCTTGAGAAACACAGGGCCTCAAGTACACCTGGCGGTACAACGTCTTGTACGTTTGGGGTTTATGTCCGTTCATTACAGACCATCATAGTTGACATAATTCCGTCGGACCTATATGTTCATAGTCTATGAGCAACTGCTAAACTCCTGAACGAAAGAAGAGTTAAATTTGCAGACAATAAAATTATGTCCGACCACCTCACCAAAATTGGAATCCTTGTAGGTGCGGACTACTACCATAAATTCATCACTGGACACATAAAACAACCGGGAATGAGCCTGTTAATGTTCCTGAGAGGCAAATTATTAACAGGTCCAGTAATGTTTGTTGTATACACCTATAGACAACAAACAAATCAATTCAGTGGTGGTTTCGTGAGTAGCCAAAGAGGAGTCACCAATAATGTTCTGAAACATGATAAAGTAAGAGCTGGATCCCCCTGTCCTTAAAATATGGGATCTAGGTACCTTGGGCATCGTCCCTGAACAACCTAGTCCAGACGATGCCTGGACATATCAACAATACCTCGACTCAGTTGTATACAGCGACAAACAATACTTGGTCAGGCTACAATTTCATGGCACAAAACCAAATAAGGTCTCAGGTGTTGCGCTTACAGAGACAACTTAAGCACCTGAAACTGTACAATGAAATAATCCAACAACTCTGAAATATAATAATTTGAATCGTAGAAAACGACGACCCTATGGAGGAACACATTTCCTCATTCTATTGAAAGCCTCAGTTACTACCCCACTGAGGATAGTGTTTAACTGCAGTGTCAAAGGCAAAGAGAATAGTGTCTCTTTGAATGATTGCCTTCAAACTGGCCCTAGCCTAACCCAAAAGGTTTATGATGTGTTATTAAAATTGTGAACAAGAATTTATACATATACAGCCGACATAAGCAAGGCATTCCATAGGGTAGGCCTCCAAGAGGAAGTTATCTTGAGATGATTTCGGGGCTTAGTGTTCCCGCGGCCCGGTCCTCGACCAGGCCTCCACTCCCAGGAAGCAGCCCGTGACAGCTGACTAACTCCCAGGTACCTATTTACTGCTAGGTAACAGGAGCATCAGAGTGAAAGAAACTCTGCCCATTGTCTCTCGCCGGCACCCGAGATCGAATCTGGGACCACAGGATCACGTGCCGAGTGTTCTGTCCCCTCAGCCACCGGCTCCTCTAGAAACCGGAGGACAGAAACTTCACAAAGTTCCTTTGGATCAAGGATCTCAGTGATCCAAATAGTGATTTAATTTGGAGGACTTCTTCTCCCTTTCAGCTTCAGGCCACTTTAGACATGCACTTGAAGAAGTTCAATAGCTCCTACAGAGACTGAAATTAGTTACAATCTGTATTTTGGCAGTTTCCATGGAACTACTAGCAGCGGAAAAGAACTGCTAACAATTTACCATGGAAGCCGATCGAGAGTGGTTGGGAGCCAATATGCCTCTCCAGTTGTGGGCTAAAAATAATGAAAAACTAAACAAACTTTTAGAATCATAATTTTCTGACT